AATAATACGGTCAAAGTGGTGATTTTCCGTTACAAAACGTTACAGTTTAACCTCAAGGATTGGACATTACCTTTCGCCCACTGTTCCTGTTCGGGCCAAGTTACAGTTCGGTTATGGATCTGGTCTTCGGATCACGGAAGAAAGAGGAAGAAGCATGGAGTGCTACACCTTATATACTAAGGGGGCGGATACCTATGAGCACTGTTCCATATGCTAATGTTATTGTTATTTATTTATTTTTTCTCTCATTTGCATATATCTCTCTTCGCTGCTGAGGGAGAATTAAAGAAAGAGAAGCATAATACTCGCCTCCGTGTCTTTAATAAAATCATGACTTTACGTCATGTTAATAGTAAAATCTAGGAATTTGTATTCAGTGGTTATACGTATATTTTGAGTTGAGCCAAATCTCACTTGTACTATACATAGTTTGGTAGCCTCCGTAGAGAAGTGAAAGATTTTCCCCACAGAGCACTTATTTTAGAGTTAACTCAGGCTGTAACTATCAGTCAATACTTTGTGACATCATAGCCTCAAAATGCTTCTTGTAGTCACCTAACAGTCTTCCTATTTCACACACTACTTAAAGGAACACTATGGTGTCAGGAAAACAAACATGTATTCCTGACACTCTAATGTTTTACTAACTATTTAGGCTACCAACCTTCCTCCCATCGCACGAGAAAGGTATTTTTGCAGACATTGTTTTTTATGCACTGCTTGACGTGGCTGGCCCTGCCTTCATGGGTGAGATTATCAATCTTGATGATCTCAGCCAATCTTTTAGCACATGCCAGCAGAACACTGTGCTGCGCCAATCAGCATCTCCTCATAGAGCATGCGTGGAGATGCTGAACACCAGTCCTGCACTCTGTGACGCACTGACACAGGAAGCACCTCTAGTGTTTGTCTGAGTGATTGCCTCTAGAGGTGTAACTAGACACAAATGTAAACTTTTCATTCTGAAAAGGCAGAATTTACAGTGTTTAGGCTGCATGGACCAACTATAGACACCAGCTTATATTTCTTCACTTACTATGGGACATTAGCTTCTAAGATTTGTAGATAATTAGTAGAATCCATTTCCCCTCTACCTTTAAAATGTCTCCTGTGCCTTCGGCAGCCACAAAACTCCACAGCATGATAGCTCAACCTCATACTTGACAAGGTGCTCTTTTAATTTTTTTAGATGCTTCTCCTTTCAATCTCCAGACATACCTTGTAGCCGAAGACTTCAATAAAATCACAGTACTTGGTTTCAAAATGTCTCTGGCTTATCTGTGTTGTGTGTTTCATAATTTAGACGTCTCTTTTTTTAGTGTGTGAAGTTTCCTTCTGCTGACTCTTTGACTCATATTTGTGCAAGTATCGCTGCACAGTGGATCGAGGCAAAGCTACTCCAGGGCTAGGTAAATTACCCCACAGGTCCTTAGAAATGATATGGGGGTGGGTCTACTTTACTGACCAGTCTAAGAGTAGTTCTATTGGAGATTTAACCTGCACTATCTGGTCTTGGATTGGCATGAGTACTTCTTTACGTCCATATTTGTAAAGACATTTTTGATAGTGGAAACGGCTAGCTGCTTAGAAAAGCCCACGGTAGCGGAGTGTAAACACAATATTCTGAGAGATAACAAGCGTCACAAAATGATTCATCTCCGGAAACCTTTGCCTATGACACTTTTCTTGGTTTAGTCAAATTTAGCAAATAAACAATAAATGTGAATTAAAATCAATAAATACATGTAGAGTTTATTCACCACTTAAAATACATTGAAACTAATTATTTGATCAGTTTTTGCATACATCTCCAGGAACAGCTTTAATTTGGGTTTTATAGATATTCTCTATGTGTGGTCTGGTTTAGTCCTGTGATAAGACGACCTTCTCCTGCTATTCACCTTATGCTATCAAATAGCTTTTATTTTCAATGATACAGTGGACAATCGAGACTGCTGTGATCTAGAGCAAATTACAGATTACTGTTTTGAGTGATTAAAGTGCTACCTGCCTGCCGGTAGATACATTTACTTTAACATATATATGGTTTTGCCCTTTTGGACTTGTCAGTCAGTGCTGGCATGATTCATGGTGGAAATGTTTCTGAAAGCAACACGTTCTAATGGTTTTGCCTGTTTTTGATCAAATATAAGGATTGAAATCTAGACTACATATCAAGCCAACACTGAGCTAACATGCCACAAAAGGGTGAAAACAGGTGTCCACATTTAGGCATTGGTCCATTAACATGCTACGACGTGCATTAGTCCAAAAACTATTCATGAGATTAGAGGCGATTCCTGAAGGAATCCAATGCAATGATGAGCGCACTAGGCCTTCTCCATAGGAAAGCATTGACTCCCTGCTTTCCAACAGAGAATTAGAAGACTCTGGATGTCCTCATGCAAATCGTGAGAATGCCCTGCATTGTTTCATGAAGTCAAATTCAAGGAAACTGCAGGAAGTGTACCCAGACCACTTCAATGAGATTTGTTGTTCCAGCACATCTCAAAGATGCTTAACCAGATTGAGATCTGGGGAATTGGAGGTCAAGGCAACACCTTGAACTTTTCATCATTTTCCTCAAACAATTCCTGAACATTTGTTTGCAGTGTGGCTGAGTGCAATATCCTGCTGTAAGAGGCCATTGCCATCAGGGAAATCCATTGCCATGAAGCGGTGTATGTGGTCTGCAACAATCTCAAGGTAGGTGGTACATGACCAAGTAGCATCCACATGAATGCCAGGACCCAAGAATTAGCAGAGCATAACACTGCTTCCACTGGCCTACCTTCTTCATCCTGCTGCCATCTCTTCCCCAAGTAAACGATGCACACACACCTGACTATTCCCCTGATCTAAAAGAAAACGTGATTCATGATACCAGACAACCTTCTTCCACTGCTTAATGGTCAAGTTCTGATGCTCACATCCCCATTGAATGATCTTTTGGCCAGGGGTCATCATGGGCTGTGCTGCCCGATATGCAGCAAACTGTGATGCACTGTGTGCTATGATACAGTTCTACCCTGGTCAGAATTATGTTTCTCAGCAATGTGAGCCACAGTAGCACTTTTGTGTGATTAGTGTAGAAGGGCTAGCCTTCGCTCCCCACGTCAATCAATGAGCCTTGGGCACCCAAGACCTTGGTTCACCAGTTGTCCTTCCTGGAACCTCTTTTAGTAGGTACGAACCACAGCATACCATGAACCCTCAAAAGACTTGCCATTTTGGAGATGCTCTGACCCAATCGTCTAGCCATTTTTCAGCTGTGTTGGATGCTGAAAAAAACTGGCAAGCGTCAAGAACTGACTTCACTTGCTGCCTAATATGTCCCACCCCTTGACAGGTGCCATTGTAACAATATAATCAATGTTATTCACTTCACTTCTCCGTAGTTTTAATGTTGTGGCTGTTCAGTGTATATTACTATTAGAATTACATGATATATCTAAAAAAACAAAAAAACAAACTGTTAAATATCTAGCAATTAATGTTTAGTTAGGTCATTGTCCTGCTGTCTATTTTTTTTCATAATTCAATAAAGATTTATATATTGGAAAAGTAGGGTTAAATTACAAATGCTCTAATTTTGACATGGCTCTTTTCTTGCATCCCAGACACTCGATTGAAATGGTGAAATGACACTGTCTCCATACTGACCAGCATTAAACCTTGACACTTTTTCTAATCCTTGCTAATGTAATCCTAGTTGACTCTAATCCTAGCCAACCATCAATAACCCCAAACTTAATTAAACCTAATCCGTGCTAACCCTAATCATAAAAAGGATTATATACTTAAAAAAAAAAACATTCATTCATAAAGCCTGACTACTAATTTGGCTGTTTTTACACAACAATAAGAGCATGTGGTGTTGGGAGGACCAGGCGCAATCTATAAACTAAGAGAGGTTTGGTGACGAACAATGATAATAAATAAAACTGTGGGATGATAATTATTATTTTATTATTTATATAGCATCAGCAAATTCCGTAGCGCTGTAAAATGGATTATGCACTGAAGAGTGACGTTTTGGGGATTCAAAGTGAATATCAAATTGTAGGCCAAATTGATATTGCTGTTATTGAAGAATTTTTTTTAAATAAAATTGGCTATTGTGACCTTACATTTTAAATTCAGTTTTAATGCTCACCAATTCAAACTTTACTTAAGAACCATTCAATTTGAAAAAGTTGACAAACGTGTTGAATTGGAAGATTATCCACCCCGCTTTAGTCAAAGGTTTCCTATTTTAGCCTGAATTTTGGAACTCAATTTTCAATTCTATAAAATTCTGGGTTTAGTAATAAAACGAATCCCAGACAGAGTACATTAGAAAGAAGTGGCAGCTGGAGCTTCCAATAAATTTATAGGGATGTTTTAAAAAAAAAAAAATCAAAATAAAAAAAAAATCACTAAAGACAGTTTTATGAGCTAGCTGGCAAAGTCAAATCTCTACTTTTATTGATATAAAATAAAAATTCTTATTTTTCCAATTCCTCTTTATTCCTTTAGACATAACTCTGGGTTTGTAGTTCCCCATTTCAAGATCTGGGAGACCATTGTGAAATATTTATATTTTTTTTGTGCTCTTAATATCAACGTGCAATATGACATTAAGCATTAGAAAGCATTAGAAATATTGAGCTCCAATGAATGGTAAACGCCGCATCTTTGCGTGTTCTCCATATGCTCTAGAGTCTAGACAATATTGCACGTGTTCACATATTTAATTAGGAACATTAATATGAAAAATAAAACAAAAATTTACAAATGTTAATGTAGAGCAATAAATCTGACATTATGGAATTCCACAAAAAAAGCTGTGTAACATATTTCACAATCATTTGCAGTGGTTTTGATGCATTTGTAAGAGGAACGTGGTTATCTTTTATTTTCTTTGTCCCACAAGTATTTTCTACTCCATTGATCAGAAGAAGATGTGAACTATTAAACGTCTGTTAGGAGTAACAAACTATGGTGGCATATATTTAAAAGCAGCTTTACCCCTCTAATATTCATTAAGGTCTAACCTGGATGGGTACACAAGCTCTCAAATCTCACCAACAGCTGCCCCTAGCAACTAACTCAACACACTGCAGAGCAGAGTAATCAGTGCATGAGAGAGGGATTAACTCAGCAGTGCTCCAACTGAGAGTGAGCTCTTTTTGAAATGATCAATTCTCGCCCCGAGCGGAGAAGAATTTTAAAGGGACACTATAGACACCCAGACTACTACAGCTCATTGAGGTCTGGGTGCAGTGTCCCTAATGCACTTAGTGCTGCAATGTTAAACATTGCAGTTCCAGAGAAATGTTTTCCAATCAGCAGTCTCAATGCTAAATTATCTGCCATTTAGGACTTAAATAATTTTGTTTCTGTCCATGCAGCACTAGCCACACCTCCGCTGGCCGTGACTCTCAAAGCCTGCATGGAAAGAAAATGCTTTTATCTTCAATTAAATCTTCTGCTCTGTAAATTGAACTTTAATCACACAGAGATTAAAACAGAGATTAGAAAACTATATCGGGTTATTAGGGTCTAGAAGACTTAACAGAGGAGGACATAAGAAATTCTAAATTAAACAGACCATGCAATAAAGGAAGTGTAAACATTAGATGACTCTTCGCAGGAAGTGTTTAGGAAGGCTGTGTGAATCACATGCAGGGAGGTGTGAATAGGGCTGCATAATCAAAGTGATTTAACTCCTAAATAGCAGATAATTAAAAAGTGACACTGCGGGGGCATTATCTATATACCAAAATGACATCATTGAGCTAAAGTGTTTTTTTGCGACTGCTATCCATTTTAAGTTTTATAACATCTTCTTTAAAACACCTGGATATAGTTAGCCTGAGCTATACAATAACAAATTAGACATAATTGCAGTCAGTGTTAGGGCTATTCATCACATGGCGAAATGACCAGATAATTTCAGATTTTAAGCCTGAATACAGCCAAGATTGGAGAAGAACGAAGTTGGAAAATTTCTCCAAATCAATTATTCTGGATTAAAACAAAAGAGAAACCAGAGGTAAAAAAAACACACGTACGCTCAACTTAATTCTGTTTTGTTTTATTTTTATGTGAGATCTTTCTTGACATCTGCTTGCGAGTACCGGATTGCAAGCTGTTGATAAAACAGAAAGAAAAGAGGGGTTCACCTTGACTGCACAATATCAGCAATGCTTTAGTACGTTAAGCTGTATATTGATCTGTCTGTACTGTGGTGCAAACACAGGAGAACGCACTGAGATAGACAGCCACAGTGTGCACAGTTCACCAGGAACTCTATTTTCAAGTTCTCCCACACCGTCAATCAGTGGAAGGAGAGAAGTTGAGATGACTTGCAGAAGCAAAGGTCACAAAAAACATTGGCATGTTCCCTGTGTTGTTATGCCCAGTGATGATATAGACTCCTGACCACAGACATGAAATGCCAATTGTCATTCTAGAGTCAAAGCAGAAAAAGCTGTATGTGCGTTACAGAATGAAATGTCTTACTAAACATTTTTTGATAATTTGGGCTTGTGATCATAGAGACAACATGGATGGGTGATATGTTATCAGCATCACGATCATAGTTTTCCACAATTTATTTTTACACGTTATTAATCTGTCCTAATTCCCCTTTCTGTGTAAGAGCACATAATTGCTAAAAGGCACAGCAATACCACAGTGTAAGAGCTAAATAAAACCATTATTCTCCTCTCGACACAGGTCCTAAGCAAGGACCATCCAAATAAAACATTGTGAAGATATTACGGCTATTAACCTGTCTAGCTTGCAGCTGGCAAAACATGACAAGTGCAGTTTTATTGAATGTGAAATTCCTTCGTGTCCGGCCAAGTCAAAGCAAACACGACAGGAGGGAAACTTAAGGACAAAAATATGAGTTATGACGGGTGAGCTGAAGTTTTTCTGAATTCCACTTTTCACTTTTAATTGTGCTCTTAGTTTTTCCACCACACAATTATTGGCTAAATATATTCAGTACCAGCTAAGTATAAATTATTTTTGAGGAAATGTTTTCCTGCAGTTCGTAGTACTATACATTTTACTGGCATCAAACTTTTACAGTGAACTTATCAGTTAAAAATGGAAGGAGCCCATGGTCTAGCAAGGCATTGTGGGGGTTATGAAATCACAAAATGCTTAGAACTACCCGTTTCTATGGGATGCATGGAGTAAAATATACCATGTCCTTGATTTAATATTTTTGGGTAAACTTTTTTTAAATGTTAAATTCTACTGGGAATTCTTGTAGATAAATATAATTTCTCCAACAGATTGTGATGAAATACACAATAGTTGTATGTACTGGAAATTGATCATTAAAACTAACAAATTACATTTAAAAAAATATCTATTGTATGCATCTATACACCGGTTTTGGAAGATGTTCTATGTTTCTATATTTCTACGTGCGGACGTAGGTAAAGAACTCACTGAGTTTGTGGTATTGTTGAATGTGTGCTTTCGTCAGTGGTAATTGACCTTTAATATATATTTTAATTGTACTTTATTCACTAAGACCTAAACAGATATAGACACAATTATTGCATTGATTCCTCTTGTTGTAATCCTAGTTGTTCTAATACGTCAGAAGATAATTCAAGGTTGTTTTTTTTGTTTAACTCTTTATTTAGGGTTTCAGATTAGGAGGGTTGGGAAAGAGTACCTCCATGATGGCTCCTCTCCTGTTGCCATTCTTAAATTTACGCAGAATTTAACCCACTCATGGTACACCAATATAAATCCAGGAATGACTTCAAATCAATCCCTTTAATAGAAACATAGAAACCGACAACAGGTAAGTCATATTTGGCCCAACTGACTTGCCCATTTTACCATCTCAAAGGGTTTTAAAACACAGATTATAAAGGTCTCTTACATTCCAAATAAAAATGACTTTAGTAGCAAGTGCTTAAAATGGAACTGTAATTTCTCCGATAATTACACTAATGAACAGAACATTGAAAACAATTCTAAATTATCTAAATAAAACATTTTTCATGTGATGCTCAATTGTCTTCTAAATGCATATTGAAGATTTTTTTAAATGACATCACAATCCAGTTCTGTTCTGTCACAGCCAAGGTGCGCACACTGCGTTGGAGGAAAAATATAAACATTTTGTTTTGGATCCGCTTTCTTTCTACGCTGACGTATAGGTACACAACCTGTAATGAGTATTACAATTTTTATATAGTGGATAAGGAAACATAATATAAGAATGCATGTGAATTGACAGTTGCCCTTTAAAAACGTTTCAGAAGTAATGTTTGTTTTTTAACAACAGTCATTATAGAACATCAATATAAAGACTGGGATCCACAACTACTCTAGAATAGCAGTGTGGTGGAGATTTATTTTGTGCAGATAAAAAGTAATATTATGTTTAAACGTAACAGAGCCATAAATGTAAAATAGCTTAATAATGTATAGGATGAGCGGTTAACGTATTAAATGGAGAATGGGAACAGGGAAAAAAAGCATATTGTACAGTCCATCGGATCATGTTGAATTACAACTCATCATTCTCAGCAAGACATGGGATGGCAAATATTTAAGAAATTCTGGGAGTTTATTCTGAAACTCGTGGATAGTTTATTTTCAAAATTATACTTATTAAACATTCCCCTTCAAAAGTTAACGTGCTGGTTCAATATATTAAATTTTGTTAAAGATGTCAGAACATCCCGCAAGTCAAGTACAGAACAATGCTCCCTGATCGATGGATTTGTTCATTTCTACGCTGCACAGCAATCTATGTCCACTGAAATATAATAAATTTGGATACAGATAATTAAATTTCTCAGCAGGTAACATTAAAAAAAAAAAAATGCCCTTGTTCTACCAATGTAAACAATAATCTCCAAAATGTTCCTTTTGATTTTTCTGTCTCTCCTATATGAACCCCTTTCACTAAAAATATTAGACCGCTTTACAGAAAAAAAGGGGGTAAAAAAAAAAAGCTAGAATACAAATTGTTTGACAGCAACAAGGGAAACACCTGGATAATCATGCAGAGAAATGATGTCATTCCAACACTACGTTAAAAAAACCCCCAAAATAATCCTTTATGTTTCTTTGCTGTTTGAACGCTATTTAAGTGATAGATTGTTAATATTGTCTAAACCTAAGCAAGCAAAAGAATGTTTGGTATTATGAAACATGATGGTTTAACAACGACGCTTCCCCAAGTCCCGAAAGAAAAACTTGTCTCCGTTAAAGTGAAGTGCAGATTACTGTGGCAAAAGTGTAAAGACACATAACATGGCATTTGTATGGCATCACCGTTTCCAAAAATGTAAAAAGTGAAGTTTTAAGGAGGGGGTTGTGATCTTGTTCATAATCCTTTTATCTGGCACTAGTCCCTTTAAATCCCCCAAAAATCCACACAATAATCCTTATGACCGAAGCATTGCGATGACGTTGAAAAACTTGCAGATCAAATAAGATTTGTCGTATTTTCTTTCACAATGAATACTGCCTTGCCATTCTAAGTTTAAAAAAAAAATATTAAAAATAAAAATAAACTGATCTACAGTTTACCGCTTGATACCTGTTTAATAAACTTCACATGCATTTATGTTGTTTGATACCATATTCTTCATCTGTCTTTTGAATGCCAGTGATCGCTGTGCAATTATTATTTTTTTTGTTTTGTGCAACTCGCATTGCAGAGTTGGTTCATTTATTTTTATTTAAAACATGAATGAGTCAAAAATAACTAGGACTATGCCAGGAAGCAGCTGAAGTTTGTAATCCCTTCGCGTCACATCTTTGCCAGAAGATGTAGATTATCGGGGGATCCTCAACGCATGGTGAGCATAAGATGCAGCGAGTTCTGTCTGTCCTTCCACCCATGTTGCATCAACGCGCGTTCTCTCTACTACAAGTTTGTACTGACATCAGGTGAGGTTACGTCAGAATATTGTTAATAAAGTCAAAGAAACGTTTAGAATACTGTTCGGGATTAACAGTGGAAATTTCTGCACCTGCCTGCAAAGAAAAAAAAAAAACACATAAAAATTTGAAAAACACATGTTTCTGTTAAAAGAAATGATTACTTAACATACAAACGTACAATATACACTGATCAGCCAGAACATTAAAACCACTTGCCTAATATCATGTAGATCCCCTTTGTGCTACCAAAACAGCTCTGATGATTCGCGGCATGGACTCCATAAGACCTCTGAACGTTTTTGTTTTTTTAGTTTACAAAAAGTGCAGATTTCAAGAGAAATTGGCACTTTTATAAACTACCCCATAG